TTCATCTTCTTTGTTTTCAAGTTCTTCCTCTCCACTTCTCCCCATTTCATTGTATTCTCGACACTTCTTGGAAGGTTCTTCTGTTTCTTGTCTGTCATTATTGTCTAAAATAAATTTAAAAAATCTACAAAATTCTTTTTTCAGTTACATTAATCATATCTACAATTTTCTTTTCTATGGTAGAAAATCATAATTTTCTTTTCTATGGTAGAAAATCATATTTTTTTCTCACAAGAGAAGAAACGGATTTTAAGGGAAGTAAGAAAGCAAGACAACACTTTCCAGCTTTGAAAATGACCACAAAACAAAATGAAATCTAAATCTGCATGATGAAATTTTAATATATTCCCATTTTCTCTTCTGCAGTGCAAAACATGGTGCTCAACATTCCATGTTATCACATAAAAGGCTAGATTCTTTTTAAACTGAAATAATTAAATACCGTAAATCTGGAAATTTTTACGTCAATTTTATTTTGCGAATCTGGGTCAAAATGCTGTTGATTAATTTTTACGTTTCAAAATTTTGCGAATGACCACTACTTTGTTTACATTTTCTTATTGTTGAATTATTTTTAAGAAAAATATTTTTGCGAATGCAATGAACTCGCAACAAAGAACTATATGCGGTATATTGCATATATTTGCCCCCACAAAAGTAAAATTTTGAAAACTTCCTGAAATGTGCCGAATTCAATAAATTGTATGAGAAATATAAATTAAGAGAAAATATTATAGTGTCAAAGCAGTGTATTCACAATTTTTGTTTTTATGACGTCACAAACTAGTCCGATTTTATATCCTTTTTAAGAAAGAGGACAAATTGAACAAAATTTCAACAATATTAGCTTTAAAATTTATAGAGCGCAAGTTTGTTCAGGAAGAATATTGACATATTTCATTGATATTATCATTCTACACATTATATCAAAATATTGATCCTGAACACACATGCGCTCGGTGACTTTTACTCAAAATATCGACGAAATATGTACATTTTTCTGTAAAATTCATAAAAAACTGAAATTTACGTCATGTTTGTGACGTCATTACGTACATATGGTGTCATTACTTATGAAAATATTCAGTGCTTTGAAGTCAGCATATACTCCCCTGTTTAAGAACTTAATTAAATATATCTCCATCAAAGTTTGATTTGGGGGGCAAATATTGGTTATTACCGAATAAAGTTCTTTGCTAAAAATTTATCTTCAGCAAAAACTTCCAGATTTACGGTATATATTTTGCGATTTAGAAGTATTAATTAAGTAAAAAAAGAATTTTCGTATATAATAATTGGCAATTAATAATTTCCATAAATATAAATTCATTTAAAATTGTTTGAAAGTGCAGTGCAATTAAATCATTTTCAGCAGTCTTGGGGTACGTATTAAACTGGGCATTTACTGTAAACCAACTTTTTTAAGTGCAAAAATATTTGTGACATTGGGAAGCAACTTTTTGTGTTTATGAAATAGTTGAAGACCATAAAATTGAATGAAATAGAAAACTTCAATTGAGAATAATTTATAATATATTTATTTATGTCAAAAATAAATTTCCATTTAGCAATTTACAATAAAGTATATCATTTTAATAGTTGGTTTACAGTATAGAAATTAAAGCAATAAATATTTGTTTTCTTTGTGTCAGCTGTAAGACATAACATGAAACGTGTGCTGTTATACAAAGGATTTATACCACTTCACTGTAGATCCAGATTTTGTTTTATTAAAACACACAAAGGGTTGACATTTAGATACCCTTCACATCCATGCACTCTTTTTCTAGTCATACCATGGACTTATCTGCCTCGAGCTACAAGGTTACACAATTTTTGAAAATTTTTATTTATAAATTAAGTTTTGAAATTGGCCCATTTGTATTCAAGATTGCTTATTATAACCAAAGTTGAACTTTGGTATCTCAAAAACCAATATCTCAAATACCATGGATATGTAAACTGATTTTAAAGTCTCTACCACTTGTCCGAAACATGTAAGTATTTCATCCTTGATATCTCAAATCCTTGGATATATCAAAGTTTTTTCATGGTCCCATTAAGTTTGAGATAACAAAGTTTGACTGTATTTACCTTGTAAGACATCTGCCTGACTCTTATATCCATCATCTAGTGGAATGCCACTGGACTGTGAAGAGGAACATAAACTGTCCTTGTACGTCCCTCTGGAATCAGGGGGGAAACTGTCCTCAGTATCAAAGGAACCTTTCTCAAACCCTTCAAAAGAATGTAAACTTCAAGTTATTTAATTTTTCATAACAAGAAAAACAGAAATGTTAAAAATCATTGATCATCAATTAAATAGTAAAATGTTCCAAAAGGTTAACGCTTTTGGCCTGACTACATAGAGTCTATTTATGAAAGCCAATGAAGACTTGCATTGCCTTCTTGTTAAGAATAAAATCTTGGCCTGTATATATCGAGGAACAGCTAAACAACATTACTGTAGAAGTACTTTTTTCCGCGTTGTATTAATTTACGCTATGTACGCCGCCACAAATTTTCCGCGGAAATTTGTCCAAGCATACTTAATATAAATGTAAGGCATATAGTGACAGTATAGAAAATCTGCGTACTTTTCTGCCCGCGGATTAAACGGAAATTGAGATTCAGCAGAATTATGACCCCATGGAAAAAAGTACGTCTACAGTATTTGTATTACAGTACAGGGATGTTTCCAGAAAAAAGCTGTATATTCATTACTTTTACTGATATTTTTTTAAAGTACATGTATTTCAATATTACCTAGTACATGAATGTGTTCTTAAGAATTATAAAATCAAATACACTTTTAGATAACTTAATGCATGTACAATATTTAATCTACAATCATGAATTCTCATAATGATCCATTCTCATGATGATATCTTTCAAAGTTCTCAATCATTATAGAAATTTTTAATATGTTTAATAAAATTGATATAATTATAATCAAAGTTCTATTACCATGAACACACTGGGTGGTCACTGAAGTTGCCTTGGCGTAATCAGGAGGAAGGTCCAATATAATATCTCTCAGAATACGCTCTTTTTTGTCAGACTCTTCAGAGGTGGTTGGTCCGTGAGTTGACGTGGGGGACAGGCTCCCGTGACCGCTGTCCTTACTGATCTGCCGTGGAACATCCGTGATTGGTAACGTCACCATGTTGGATTTAAGGTCGGGTTTGGAGTCCTTTGGTTCATCACTCCTATCTTTTTCATCAAGGTCCACCAAGGATCCATCTGGTAAGATATCTTCATAACTGTGATTTACTCCATTATGTCTAATATCTCCATTTGATGACATTCCATTCTGAGGAGTAAAGAAAAGACAATTTGATGAAAGGGAGGATAAATAAGAAAACATAAGATAATGATACCTCAAATACTATGTACAAGTGGCAGTTTTATTCAGCTACAGTGTATCAGATGGTGTGAAGAAATATTTACATGTATGTGGTTATGTGTAATAAAGATAAAAGTGAGAAGTTGTTACTTTATACTTACAGGTGTGATAAGGGGTGAGCTGGATCTGTCAGCTGGTACGGTGAGGTTATTATACAAATTGCTTCCAGTAGGCTAAAAAACAAAAAAGATAATTAACAAGTGAGAGAAATTTACTTGTAGCAAGTACCCTCCCTACAATAATATTTTTTTCTATATGGACTTCCTGATCTTATACCAGTAAATCTAAATAAAGTTTTTTTGGAACTTTTTTGCTGGTTAGTTCTTAGGTTTTTGCTAGTTAGCTACATGTATTAGGTTTTTATTAGACAAAATTTTTTCAAGAGCTGTGATTTGTGTTGTATATAATATGTTATTATTCAAATGTCAAATGTCGGTTGTATTTCTTAAGCTTATGTTAAAAATATTGACCTTCTTAGGCTTCTAAAATACCAATATATTTATATCTTGCCTATAAGTCGGACATGGAGTTTTGGACCAAAGTTAATCTCCCAAAAATCCGACTAATAGGCGAGTATATATGGTAAGTCCAAAGTCTATATACCAAATTGATCATCAAATTGTCTGTGATTGTTAAATATTTGACAAATCTCATACATACCAGATTTTCATAGGGCCTAACTTGTATATTTTCTATTTCAAATTTTTCATCCAGACCTAATTTACGTCTAAAGAGTCTGTAAAGGATAAAAAAAAAACCTGTTAAAAAATACCTTCAAGTAAAATGAGTATTTATATATAAGCTGAAGTTCACCTTCAACAAACTCATATTTGATTATGTTTCAACTGCAAATTGTCGTAAACTTTGAAATATTTTTAAAGGATAAACCCAAACACATGATATTTCCAAATAATTACAGTCAATGACATACATGTACATGTATAAAGCCCTTAATAGAATAAGGTACTCATTGAATAAAAAAAAATTCTCATGCATTTTCAGGTAATCCATGAAATAAAAATGTATTCTATTTATTAGGCCAAGCTTAAAAAATTCTTTGTTTGCAGTTGCCGACCTATGATTTTAAGACTGGGTCGGTAGGTAGGCATTCTTTTTTTTTTTTTTTTTTTTTTGGAAAAAAAATTGGATTTTTGTTAGATAACAAATAAAAGAGGTTTTTATAGACCTACTACACATGAATAAGCTCAACTCTTTTTACAAACCACTGATTGATAAAACAAAAGTCAAAATTTGAATAAAGTGCCCCGCCACAGCATGATACGCCCGTCAAATATTGTTCAATAATCATAAATTGGTTAGGATGCAAGAAAATCAGGTAGACTTGATTAACAGATTGACACAGATTTCAATGATCTAATTTCCATTTCTTATCATACATCTCTAAGAGACTTGCAGTGTAGGGATTGATTATAACAAATACATAATATAACTCTAAACTGGTTGTGTTAGAGCAAAACAAATATCCATCTGCAGCTTACTTAAACTTAAATTGTTTATTGCATATTTTATGAAATAATAGAAATTCTACAGTTTAATAAAAAAAAATCAAACATAAATTATAATTTCTTCAGACTATAAAATTCTAAGTGAGACATGACCGCAATTTGTTGCAAATATAACCAGAAGTCTCTGTCGAGACTGTAGCTCTACTGGTTTGTACTTATCAAAAACCATTGCACTATTTTATGTTTCTTTGTGTAGTCTACTTGTGTGCCAACTTATTTTGAAATCAAACTAAAACTGTAGAAGGAGTAGCGTTTTTAAGGAATTTCACAGAAAATTCTATTTTTAGTAACCATGGTAACACCGTTCATCGAAATCAAAAACCGATGTACTATTCTATGTATCTTAGTGTAGTCTACTTGTGTGCCAAGTAATATTGAAATCAGACTAAAATTGTAGGAGGAGTAGCGTTTTGAAAAATTGTTTTTTTAGTAACATGGCAACATGATGCACTATTCTATGCAAGTCTACTTGTGTGCCAAGTAATATTGAAATCAGCAAAATTGTAAGCTAGCGTTTTGAAAATTGTTTACAGACAGACGACAGACAGACGGAGGGCTAAAAATTGAAATATATATTTTTTTTCAATGAACACATGTATAATTAGTTTTAATTATATTAATTATACAATACTAATTTAGTTTTAATCATACACTAATACATAAATTTGTTTTAATTACATTACACCAATTGGAAGATCTTTATCTGGACTAGCCATCAAAAACTCTTAATTAACACAAGCAACTATGAGGCCATTTCTTTTTGCCCAACTCCCAAGAGATAAATTAAGATAACAGCTGCATCAGATCTAGAGATGCTCTTAGCTCCTGACAATAAACTCATTAATTTCTCTCTAATTTGACATGCAAGTTTCTGCTATCAAAATTCTTCTTGACCAGTGCTTGATAATTATGCCCATGGGACAAACTGAATTCCTCTCAAAGCATAAACATTTGTTACAGATTGCTGTAAAGTATATAATGAAAAAATAAGTTTTTACTTAATTTAACATTTTTTAATAAGGATACAACTATATTTTTACATTTTTTAGGATTATGAAATTTAAAATTTTAAAGACTTAGTTTTTTAAAAAAGATCACTTAAATCAAAGGTCACAGTGACCTTGAAATAGGCCGTGACACACCTTCTACCTTAGCTGTATACTTTTGCCAAGTTTGAAAGCTCTAGGTCTCATAGTTTTCTTGTTATGAGCCGGACAGGATTTTTCCATATTTGGCTATAACATCTTAATTAAAGGTCAGAGCGACCTACTTTTTGTGCGCGACACACCTTCTACCCAAGATGTATCAGCTGACAAAGTTTGATAACTCTAGGCCTTATAGTATTAAAGTTATGAGCCGGAAACGAGAAAAGCTAACAGACGGACGGACACGAAGCCTATAACATAATACGTCCCGTCTTAAGACGGGCGCATAAAAAGATACAGTTTCAATATTCTGAAAAATTGAAAAAAAAATTAAATTACAAAATGGATAAAAAAAGTTTGGGTCGGGTACATTTTCAGTGGGTCGGTAGAAACTGCAAACAAACTTATTTTTATTTTAGGCCTTATGATATTTTGGATTTAAACCTTTGAGCGCAAAAACACAAACCTGCAAACAAACACGAATCCTGCAATGACAAGTATAAGAACAAATATTCCTCCGATAGCAATGGCTGCTATTGATCCCCCTGGTAAATCTACAAAGACAATATATCAATGAATTAGTTTTATAATATAATATAGAAATTAGATATATGCCAAAGTTCTTTGAACAAAATAAAACAGTTGCATGCACAATGAGTAGGGACCAACCTCAATTCCTTTCTAAAAATGACCATTAGTTATGGTTTTTTAATCAATAAATCTGGTAAAATTGCTCTCTAATTTTAATTTTGTATTATATCCCTTATAAATTTTTATGTCACATGAAAATACAGTTCATGAAAGCTCTTATTCATACATATTTAACCTCCATTACTTTTCTCAACACATATAGCAATTAAATCGTGAGCAGCACAAAGAAAAATAAATCTTCTAGATTTTTTGTTTGTTGTTTAAAATCCCTCTATATTATTTATGATGAAAGTCCATTTAAAGCTGGAGAAAACCTGATGTTACCATGGAATACTTCTTACCATTATTGGTAGGTCGTCCAGTCACCATTTTACTTCTACGCCCCTCCTTTGTGAGTGACATGGCTTGTACCCACACACCATATTCTGTGTCTGCCTCCAGGTCTCTTAGTGTGTACTGTGTGGTACTATCTGCAGGGACACTCACAGAATATTCCTTGCCTAAAAATCAACATATATTGGTTAAAATCAAAAAGCTCCAGCAGCGTGTTCCTTAAAGAGGAAAGAGATTTACTTCATCTCAAGTTTTACAACTGAATATTTAGTTTTAAATCATGAAAACGATTAATCATTATTAATACTACTGCATTTGGTATGGAACATAAAATTTGAAGAGCAATTTAGTTGTTTACATGTAATGATACATTTAAGTTAAAACACCATGAGTTATGCTCAAACCTTTACAGGATTCTTGTATATTCAACTGGCAGTAGATGATCCGGTACGTCTTGATGTAGGCGTTATTTGAGACCCCTGACTCACATCTGAGGGGATTCCAGGTCACCACCAGGCTGTTTTTAGGACGGTCGAGGGGGAGGGACACACCATCCACAGGTGAGGGCACTAAAATTACAACAAAAATGTACAATAAATGAAGTATTGAAGGGATTAAAAGCACATCCAAAAGTCACTGATTAGAATGGAGCTCTGCTGATCTTAACTTAGGCATTTTTAAATTGGGGAAAATTGCCCTCTGGAATCAAGAATTAACAGTTAGTCTATGGGCCACAATGCTCACCCAAGTACCCATATTTAAAACATTCTAAACAGTTCTAGTATTATACCTGCCTCCTTCACATTTCTAGTCCTCTAACCACATCTTTCACATTTCTTACCTGCATCCTTCACATATCTGCATTCCTCCTGCCATTTAATTCCACTACTGAAATTCTTATCATTGATGGCTGCCACACCAAATATGACATCATCCAGAGCTTGATCAATCATGTCTGCCTTCAGAACTGTGTGATTCATATTCCCTGTTCTTCTAAGTATATGTATTTCATCCTGAATAAAGAATTATTAAATGTCAAGTTCAGTTATGAATATATGATCATGCAAACAAAGAAAGTCAAAGAAAAACATTTTCTGACATGATATTTGGCATGGTTAAATAAAATAGGTTCTAAAGGTAATATACATCCATTATGAGTTATATTTGTACAGCGCAGTCCATAGCAAATTTTGTTCACTTTCTATTCATCGAAATAAAAAGTTTGAGATGCAGAAAATACCTGCCGTAGATTAAAATTCTGACCTCAATTTTCCACAAATGAGCTTTTTATATATATCTTATGTATTACCTGACACTGCAGCACTGCTGGTTTGACTTTGCACCACACCACATCAGTAGCAACAATGGCCTCCCTCTCCAACCCAAACCAGGACAGCTGCACCTCTGATTGTCCCTTCTGTTCTACTATAACTCTCTTGGGGGACACCACATCTAGTTAAAACATAGGTATATGATAAAAAATACAAAGCTCAATTCAAGGAATGTAATCTTTTAAATTAGGCACCAAACAAATATTCGGGTAATGACTGTATCTTTATATAGATGCAACATTTATTCAAGTTTTATGTGTTTTTGAAACACTGATGCCCCTGAGTGGCAGCTTATGACAAATACAAGTCAAATGCCACAGTCAAGGGATCAAAAACGTTGTTAACAAAGGAAAAGTCTTGTCTCAAGGAATAAAATGTGAATTATGAAAGCCCTTGCAAGAACTTTTCAAAAGTAATGGTGAAAGTTAATTTTTTCAATGTAAAGTGAACCTTAAATGTAAAAGTAAAAATTAATGGTGCCCAAGAAGACCTTGTCACAAGAAGTGAAATATATGAAACCCAATCAACAACCATTCAAAAGTTATGGTCAATGTTAAATTTTTTAAGATAGGTCAAACTTCAAAGTCAAGGTCAAAGTACTGAAATTGGTGGCTTTAAGGTCTTGTGGTGCCAAAGGCAAGATCTTTCCACAATATATACACTTGTGAAACATGAAAGCCCTTGCACCAATCATTCAAAAATTACAGCCAAGTTTAACATTTTTTCAAAAGTACACCTACATGTAGGTCAAACTGGTGGCACCCAAGGAAAGAAATACACATGAAAAATGGAAGTCCTAGCAACAATCCTTAAAAACTTATTGCCAAAATCAGTTTGTTTCAAGAAGATCAAGGTCAAAATCGTTGGTACCCAATGAAATGTCTTTTGACAATGAATACCCAGATGAGTTTAGTAAAATTTGCAAAAGTGGCTCAAAATCTAATATTAAAATGTAAAAAGTTGATTCCCAAGAAAAGGTCTTTTCTCAAGGAATACACAGGTGAAATATAAAAGTTATGGCTCCAATCAATCAAAAGGTATGGGCATGCGAGGATAAAGTTTTTTTTTAGACAAAAGTAGGGGACATAAAAATTGTATCTTTATATATACTTCAGCAAAGTGAGTGTGATATAAGTTTTTCAAATACCTTTAATCAATATGCATAAGTAGCTTAGTAGCTGATTTCTTTTGATTTGTTGGAGCAAATATTAGGGCTTTCATATTTCACAGTGTATTGCATATGACATGTACTTAATTACTATTGTGACCTCTTGGCCTTGGAAATTGAACTAGTAAGACTACTATTGAAAACTTTAACTTTGGCCATAATTATTGAACAGTTGGTGTTAGGGCTTTCATATTTCACAGGTGTATTTTTTGTGCCTTTTCTTTGAGTACCGACTATGTTGATTTTTTGACCTTGGAGTTTTACTTGCATGTAAGAAATTTTCACCCTTACCATAAGCATAGTCATATGAAGGCATCAGTGTGTTTCACAAACACATCTTGTTTCATCATATTTGGACAAATGATATTACGAATTATAAACTTGTCAATATCCAAACACCTTTTCATTCCTTAAAGGTAATGGGCCTCAAGGCTCAACCCCTATGCCTGTGCTCTATTACTTATAAGAAATTGACATGCAAGTACTTAATTAATCTTTTAAATTAGATAACAATCCCTATAATTACTAAGGACCTTCCCTGAATATGTAACTTCAAAAATAAGCTTATGACATGACGACAAGAGCTAAGATTTATTTCCATGAATTTCTACACATATTGATAGTTGAATGTTTCTTTTGTTTTGAATCAACTTCATGTATTTGGATTATAAACTTCTTACAGAGCTATTAATATTTTTCTTTACCTGTGTAGGCCGGTATGTATATAGAGGAGTTAGGTGAACATCCAATGAGGTTACATCCTCGAACGGTTATGTTACGGCCTCCACAAGGGATGTTTACAGTGGCTGATGTCGCATTAGGAGCTACTCTCTTCCAATTGTCATCACCGTACAACACCCTGTATTCCTTCAAAGGTCCATTTTGAAATCGACGCGGAATTTTCTACAGAATAAATCATAATAAATAGTGCTTTTGAGGTCGATGAAGGCAATAATTGAAATGCAAAATTTACTATTAATTATGGTTAATCACTTTTTATTTGTGAGAACTTTATTTTCTCATAATTACGCAAGACAGTGTGTTTGCAAAAATTTCATTCTCATGTATATAAGTAGTCGTAGGATTATACATGTATAGAGGAAAATCCCCTATCTGTGAAAATTTGTCTCGCTAATTTAGAGTTAATGACTATCTCATGAAAATAAGGTGTCACGAAAATTTAGTTAACTTCAATATGGTAATTTGTGAATATATCAATATTCAGTGTTTAAAAAAAAAGATTTCTTCAACCTTAAGCTATCATCTCATTAGTGAACTAAAAAGCATATACCACAGTAAATCTTAATTTTCCAGATTTGACACCCACATTCTATAAGCTGTCAAATAATTTTCAAAAGATCATGTTTTAATATAGATATGGTCCAAAATCTGATTCTGGTATTTAAATAATGGCTATATAAAATGATGATGTACCATATTAAATTATAAAAAAAAGACCTACCTCCCAGTAAACAAATATGGATCTATACCCCGAAGTACAATCCCCCGAGGAAAAACCGCTGGACTGCAGGGGTGGAGCAAGAGAGGGGACTACAACAAAGGAAAGTTTCATGAAATATATGAAGAAGAAATTCAGACATTTTCAAAGATAAAAAATAAAGGGTGATGGAGGAATTTCAAAAACAAACTGTAATATTGTAAGACTTATCCATTAATAAACATCTGTTTGGCCTAAATTTTTTATAAATGGACTGACAACCATTTTTGCTTTTTAAAAAAGAGTTGTATGATATGTATCACCCTCATTTATATCAAATTTTTAAGAAAAGTTCTGGTATTTACATTGAACATTAGTTTTTAAATTAAGTACTGTGGTTTCATCAATATTCGCTGAGCACCAATTTTCGTGGATTTCGTTGTTGAGCAGATCCAAGAATTCAAATGTTCATTGAATTATGAAATATGACATTCATTTGTATAGCATTGTATATGCAATGCTTTTGTCCACGAAATTACGTATCCTCAAAAACGTCTGTTTTACAAAATCCACGAAAATTGATGCCAACGAAAATTTATGAAACCACAGTATATACCTGTTATACACTTTCCCTTTTTTTATCTATACTACTTTGAGAGGGAAAAGTAAAATATACAAGGGGTTATCAAAAAGTTCGTTGACTGAGGCTATAAAATTAGTACTATGTAGTCTGAGCTTACAAAATTTATCAGGAATATAAAACAACAAAAATAAAGAAATATTGAAAATTTATGCTTGATTCGTTCATTATTTCTCAAATTATTATAAAATAAAAAGGACATTATATGATCACCCGGTGCCATCCCCGTTTAGTTTTTTGACGTCCGACAACGTCATTGTTTTTTAAAGTTTGCTTAACATATCTCATACTCTTATTTTATGAGATTCCCTGGAGCTGAGTAAGGACTTCAACCCGTCTTGTTTATATGATTTTAAAATGTCACGAACAGCAACTTTCCATGCAACTTTCCATAATGTTGCAAACGGATTTATATACTGGGAGAGATCCTCGCTTGATTTTGTCAGCATTTTTTGCTTTTTGGAGTTCAATATCTACAACACTTCATCAACATCATTTTATGAAAACCCTCTCCCTTTTTTGACGTCATTTTCAAAATAATATTTGTTTGGATACTCCAGGTAAAATTTACAATTTAATTTCATAGAACTCCCAGAATAAGGTAAAAATTCCAATTTTTATGGAACAATAGTGTCCCAACACACATCCGAATACCGGGTAAGCGGATTTTTGGATGTCAAATGTTCATAACAAAAGAGTTTTTTAAGATACACTTAGGTCGAAAAAAATGTTGTGTTCGAGGTTGCGCCGCCTGGACATACCATTGCTTACAAAAACATTACTTCTTTATTAAAAAATAAAATTCATGAATTGTGATAGATAAGATGATTCTAACTAGGTATTTTAAATTTCATTGATGTACCTAAAGCGGTTTTAATTTTATGGCGCTAGTCTACGAACTTTTTGATACCCCCTAGTACTTTGGAAGAAAGTGCATCTATTTTTTTTAAATGAATATTGCTTTGAGAGTAAAAGTAAAGTATTACTCTGGATAAAAATGCTTCTATAGTTTAATTTATTCCAATAGCCAACATTAATGGTACAAAATACCTTAATCATATGTATAAGACCAGTGGTTAACAATACCTGTTTCACATGTATCAAAGTCCTTCTCCTTTGGATCACTGTAGTACAAGCCCCCAAAAGGTTTAATAATTACTGTAACTGTGTATGTAGTGGCAGGAATCAGGTTACACACAACAAGGCTTTTATTAACATTAACATCGTGAACCTAGATATTAAAATAAATATTTATTTAAAATCATTAATGGAAAAATTTACATGCATCTTGATTTTTTTTTTTTTTTTGCAATTTTTTTTTGCATTTTGGTGAATACAATTGCAACAATTTAGATACCCCTAATAAATGCAATATTTGTACAAGCTAAAAGGGTGAAGTGAATTCAAATACATGTACCATATAAGCAGAATTTTTAGCCAAGATTTAAATTTGGTATTATAAGCAATTAGGCTTGATGCTGATATTGCTAAAATTAAATATTGCTGAAAATTAGGTTACACACAACAAGGCTTTTATTAACATTAACATCGTGAACCTAGATATTAAAATAAATATTTATTTAAAATCATTAATAAAAATTTACTTTTGATTTTTTTTTTTTTTTTGCAATTTTTTTTTGCATTTTGGTAAATTGCAAAATTTATAACCCCTATAAAAATATTTGTAAATTTAAATAGGGTGAAGTGAATTCAAATACTGTACCTATAAGCAGAATTTTTAGCCAAGATTTAAATTTGGTATTATAAGCAATTAGGCTTGATGCTGATATTGCTAAAATTAAATATTGCTGAAAATTGTGTTTTAGTTATAATAGCTTTCTTTAGCATGTTTAGTGAGCATTTTAAAATTGCAAAAATTACTTCTCCCTAAAAATGAAATACTGATCTTTAAGGACAAATCGCTAAAGCGTCTCGCTAAAATTTCCACTGATATGGTACATTTATATTGCATGTACTCGGTGTGTTGCTTGACTATGCTATTGTCTTAAAAGGAAGAAAAACTTGTATAATTTATACCAGAGGGACACTGTTCCACTGTGACATCAGGATGACCCGAGAGGAGGTCTTGGCCCCTCCTGGTATTGTCCCCCAGGACACATTGGCACACCCACAGGAATCCACGGATGAGGCATTGACATATTCTGTAGGCAAAGGTTTAGCTACAAAAATAAATTTAGATTAAAATTTAAACTGTTGGTATAATATACATATATCATACCTAAAATATAAACAGTCTTGGTGTGTATCCTCAGCAGAAACTTCCAAACTGATCATGATCATATAAATATTGCATTGAAAATTTTCACCCCAAGAAACCCATTGTCAACCAAGGAGCAGTTGGGGTGAAAATTTTCAATGTTACGCTCAACTACATCAACATGCAATGTTTATTGATATACTAAATGTTTCATTTGAATACATTAAGTATGGGTATCACCAAAAATTTTGATTTACCGTAATTTTCGGATAATAGGTCGATACTTTTTTTCTCAGAACCGCTGGGGTCGCCCAATATACAAATTCGACCTTTCTAAGGCTCAAGTTTATGAAAAATGCCCCAAAATCAATAAAATTTACGTCAATTTCAAAGCAAATCTGTGCCACTTTCATAACTTTTTCATTATTTTACGCAGAAAAATTAATGCCCAGGTAAACAATAAAATATTTATTTTATAGCTTTCTTACAAAATAAATTCCGTTAAATATCCGTTGATGACAAAGGAAAAAAACTGTGCTTCATCAAGTAAATAATTCCTCAACGTGTTATCCATTGCCATCGTGCGGTAGCCATCTTGTGAAGTTAGGAAGTCGCTACCGTTTACTAAAAGTAAAACCGCAACCGTATCAAAATTTAAAATACGGAAAAGCTTCTTCGTACACAAGAAGTACACTGAATTACCGCTATACAAAGATTGGCTTCTAACAGAATTTTAATTGTCTGAGAGATAAAGGGATTTACACTGTGTACGCAAAGGTGCCGTTATAGGGTATTATATTTGAAAAACAAAGCCGTTTTGTTGACAGTCAAATTGCAATGCAGAATTAAATTTATAAATTAAACTTATTAGAGTGTTAATATGATTTCAATTCTTAACTGTTGCTTGATATATACATGTACATTCAACGGTCGTTTGCGGGTTTTAGCAAATCCCTGAAGAACAAAAATGAAAATGGCTTTGTCGTCCAAAATAATGTCTGAATAAAATATATTAGGAATGTGTCCAAGTTTATTGAAATCAGAATTATTATTCTTTGATCTAGGGTATTTCCCGATTTATAGATGTAAAATAAGAACATATTTACGTGTTATTTATGCCTGTGGTTTAAAACAGTATGCCTGCGGAGGCATTGAACAGGCAAAGAAAAATAAGTAGTAACACAATTATAAGAAGTTTTAACTACTTTTAAAAAAAAAGCTTTATTCAAATTCTGTACAGTCAAATTGTGAATACCTGTTTAATCTCAATTAATCGTTTATTTATAACCCCGGTAATTCTAGGGTTTAGAGTTTAATATTGTATTTGCAATAATCTTTAACTGTTGAATACAAAGCTTTATTTTCATTATTTGGCCATTTTCGTGTTTTTTATTTTTCTTCTCCAGGGATTCGCTAAAAAAAATGGCCATTGAATGTATATATCATCGAAGTTAAGAATTGAAATCATATTAACACTCTAATAAGTTTAATTTATAAATTTAATTGAGAGTAATTCACAATTTGACTGTCAACATGAATTTCAAGCTTAGTTTGTTCAATTGTGTAACACTAATACCCTATAACGGCACGTGGGATTATTATAATCATGCCCCGCAGGTATTTAAACAACAGGTGTTACACCTTTGCGTACACAGTGTAAATCCCTTTATCTTTCAGACAATTACCGAAGAGTTATTATACATAATTCAATGTAAATTATATTTCTGTCAAATTAAACAATTCTTTGCTTAATAGACAAATTTGAATATTTTTTTTTTCATTTATCGCTACTAATAAATGGTTAAAACACTAAAACTTGAAAATTTTTCCTTTTAAATTTTGTGGAAAAACGGTAGCGACTTCCTAACTTCACAAGATGGATACCTGTTAATACGTTGAGGAATTATTTAATAGATGAAGCAATGTTGTTTTTTTTGTCATCATCGGATAATTAATGGAATTTATTTTGTAAACCACTAGAATAAATATTTTATTGTTTACTGGGCATTAATTTAAAATAATGAAAAAAGTTATGAAAGTGGCACAGATTTGCTTTGAAATTGATGTAAATTTTATTGATTTTGGGGCATTTTTCAAAAAACTTGGACACATTCCTAATATAGAAGAAAAAAAGTATCGACCTATTATCCGAAAATTACGGTATCAGTCGAAAACGAAAAAATTATATTTAAAAACAGCAAAATTATATATAGAGACAAAATTGGTTACATTATCGATAACACATAATGCATATTAGAATACAAAAATAGGGAAAAGGTGACTTGATCTGGATCTCTGATTGAAAAAAGAAAATAAATGGGGGTCCATAACCCAAGTGCCTGGGGAATACACATGTGAATATGATGCATCCACTATTATGGGCATGGTTACAAAAGATAGACAGGAAAGACAACATTCTAACTCTTGCTATTTAGGGTCTCTGTTTTAGATTCATTTCATGTTTATATGCCCCTGTAATCGAGATTCAGGGGTATATACTGTACATGTATTTTTGCCCCGTCAGTGTCATGTCTTTTTCCTGCAAAAACTTGAAATCCCTAGCTTTTGAGTTAGGGCTGTGGCTTTCAAAATTTACAGGTTTACAAAAGACCTAATCAAATTCACTTCGTGACTTGACATATAACAAAAATTATATATAGGCTTTCATATTTCACATGTGTATTCACTTTGACGAGACCTTTCATTGGGTATAAACACATTTTACCTTTTGACCTTAGAGTCTGACCTACTTTTTAAAATTTTTAACCTTGACTATAATTTTTAAACATATTACGAATTACAAAAATATTTTGGACCTTGACCTTGTAAAACTTGCATCTCTGAAATTTCAACCCTCAACATTTAAGCTGCTATAGGGGGCATCAGTGTTTCACAAACATATCTTGTTCTTCATTGAAATCCCTGTTAGTTATGGTAAGGACAACAATCTTCGACAGACTGACATAACAAAAACGATATACCGCCGAAACTTCCTTTACAGGGGGATAATAAACTTACTCAAGGTCTGTGTTTTAAATTCCTTTCTGAAAGATTTTTCTTCATCGAAGTCCATGTTATTAACGGTGAGGACAACTATCTTAGACATGGAGAAGATGGCAGCATTACCAACATCTTGTTCTGTCCAAGTACAATTCTGCTGAAATTTTAACTTCTTTGGACATGGTGTAACAGTTGATCCATTGTCTGGGGACCTAAATGAAATCAACAAGTTTTTACAATGTATGTATATGTACTATATATAAGTCATTATTGATTACAAATTTGTTTTGGACTCTTTTGATGGACTTGGTACATGAATATAAAACTGCTTTCCCTCAAGTGAGCAAAAACTTTATTGAATACCAATATATTACAGTAAAACAAACTTATATAACCAAGTGCCAGAGATGGAGAATTTTGCTTCATTAACAGATTATAAACAATCATATAATTTTTAATATCCATTTAGTATATTGTATATTTATTAAAAAAAAAGCCATTAGGTGGATGAGAGCCACTTTGCTTTAATTAAGTGTTGATCAATTCATTATAAGTGTGCTCTCTATGAGTCTGGTTTACTGTTCTTCACTTTGCTGTTTGACAACATTTGATTGACTTACATAATTACTGAGACATTAAGAGAGGATGGTCTATTGTACAGTCCAAGTTCCCATCTACAGTGAAATTCCTTTTTCTCTTCATTCACTATACAACTAATGTTGGAAACATTTCGCACTGCTTCATCTTAAAAAAAATAATAATATAAGTCCATAGGATCATGGGGGTACACATGCATCGTCGGAAACCCACGGGTGATCTCGTCTTTACTTATCACCCACGGGTGATAAGTAAAGACGAGATCACCCGTGGGTTTCCGACGATTGGGGGTACATTGATTTGCCAAATTTACAGTGTTAATTAACTGGTAAATTTTCATGATCTCTTTTCTTCGAATCTTAATTTACTAAGCATAATAATTAATATATTGATGAAAATAATAGGATTTAGCATGTTATTACAATTATTTCAACAATACTTTGGAATTCAGAAAAGGTTATTGAGAAAAGGTCCTACTGTGTACCCTTATAAACTTGAGGCAAAACATTTAAATATATACTGCACTTAAAAAATACATTAACAACATACAATTACAAATTCTAATTTTTTTTCCCCCTGTTGATGTGATGGACTTACACTCAGTTATCAGTGAGACTGACTTCACCATACTCTTCCCGTAATCCTCTACGTCCGTTCTCCTACAAGAGTAAGTGCCTGCCTCCTCGACACTGGTGATTTTCTTGTGGAACATTAAAGTTCTTTCTCCAATAATAGAAACTGTATCTGGTGATGCCCAGGACCCATGAATATCCCAGCCCAGAAGGGAAGCATTCAGACTCGAACTTTCAAACACAGTGCAGTTCAACTCCAAAGTCTGATTCAGTACTGCCTTGGGGTTCACTGGAGTTACCT